AAAGAAGAAGAAGAAGAAGAAGAAGAAGAAGAAGAAGAAGAAGAAGAAGAAGAAGAAGAAGAAGAAGAAGAAGAAGAAGAAGAAGAAGAAGAAAAAGAAGACAACCACCACCACCATCAACAACAGCAGTATCAACAACAACAACAACAACAACAACAGCAACAGCAGCAGCAGCCTCAACAACAACAACAACAACAACAACAACGACGACGACGACGACGACGACGACGAAAATGAGAAAAAGAAAAAGAACAAGAAGATTTGAGTCAATCGAATTTTAGTGGCAAGGATTTTCTGGCGGTCACCCTCAATATATAACAGTCTTCACGCACCACTTTTTTCTTAACCTAAGTGAGATGGATAGAGAAGATAATATCATAAAAGTCCGAGAATGGGGACACCCCCATGGCGCTGCGCCCCCTCCCCTCCCCCACCCCAACCCCGACTCTCCACTTTACAAACGGTCATATCTACAGCTTCTACAGGACTCAAGTGGCAATATCCTCGATTAAAGCAACAAAATCTTTGAATATAAATAGAATATGTAGATCTATATACCCAACACCACCGTAATAGCCTACTGGACATAAAAAATTACGCTTTCAAATGATACGTGGGCTGTCTTCCTTCCCTACGACCTTATGTCTCCCGGGCAATTTATTCTTCTCATCTTCCGGAGTATCTCATTCAAATAAGTTAGCGGGGAGTAGGGGTCGGTCGGGACATTACATTAATCGTAATTGCAGGATCGTGAAGAGTGCTTGAATAGCGGTCAAAGAAGATTCGTTCACCTATACAATAATCTGTTTTCGCACTGCTTTGTCCGAGTAGCGCATAATATGTACCGGTGTGAATATTTTCCGCTTTCATTTTGCTGAAGCAAGTCGACGAAACCGATGAAATAAAGTTAGATCGCATAACAGTAGACAGGACAACAATCGTTTAATTCTTCAAGCGTTCATAGGAACTTGTGACATTTATGTTACTTACAAGGACAGAAATGTTTATCCTTTACAGCCCGGGCAAATGTATAGAAGTTCCTCTTGTTCGTCGTTTATTAAGCGTGTGTGTACCTGTGTATCTCGCGTGGATTTTACTCACTCTAGCTTTCGTGGCTGGGTCTGTCGATTTGACGACATCACCACGAATGTCCGCTGTGCCTGTGAACAGCTTATGTCAAGACCCCCCTGTGAGAGACGAGTCACCGTGTACTGAGCTCGTGAGCCAGAATGGCTGTGTAGAGATAAACTGTACCGCAAAAGACATCACCGAACTCAGGGCCACATGGTTTCCCTGTAACGTGTGCAAACTTGACCTCCAAATAAACGCGCTGGAAATCATACGCAAAACTTCTTTTGCTCATCTCTCCCAACTCCGCTGGCTAAGTTTGGGATCTAACAGAATTTGGAAAATCGAACCTTTCGCTTTTGACAACCTTGTCAGTCTGGAGTATCTAAACCTAGAGTACAATCATCTAGAACTTACTGTCGGTTCATATCCACCCCATCTCTTCACACCATTGATTCTGCTGAAGACCTTGAGACTGGCTCATCAAAATAGTCAACCATCAGATTCGTACCCTCCAGACTTTATTTTTCACATGGCAGGCCTGCAGGCCTTGTCAGTCCCAAGCGTCGGAGACATTCTACACTTCAGCTCGGACTTCTGTCAACTTGAGAATCTGTCCCGTCTGGAAATTTCCGGATCTGTCGAAAACATCACTAACTCAAGTTTTGACACACTGAAATGCCTCACCCTGATAGAGCTGTCTTTAAAAAATCTAACGTCATTGACTAGATTTGAGCAAGATGCTCTCAGGCCAGTAAGTAGAAGTTTACGGTCATTTCATATGGAACGCGTGTTTATAGGTTTACAGAACGCCTTAAAAGTTTTGAGACCTTTGAACGGCAATGATATGTACGAGATATCTTTTGATTTTCTAGCCTTCAAGGACAGTCAAGCAGGTTATGGTGTTATAACAGGAGATGGTATACTTAATGGCCATTCAATGGCGCATTTGAAGGATATGTGTTTGGAGAGACTGTTGCTGATAACATGCCGAATCTTTGTAATTGAACCATCTGCGTTTGGGCCTAGTCGTTTGAGGAATTGTATAAAATACGTAGACTTGTCCGATAATTATATTCAGGGCACTGATGTGGGTATCTTTCGATTATTAACTCTACCCAATCTGGAGACAGTTGTGATTTTTGCCCAAAGACCTTTCACACCCATTACAGATGAGATCCGGAAGAATCGGATCTTAAATACACCTCTTGAGAGCCCCATACCTCCGATAGAGTTGCCTTCTGAGAATGCCAAACAATCTTTTGAAAAGTTAGGATTGACATCACACCATACACCGTCGAAACAAGTTGATCATGTTAAATCAGAACTGTCTTTCAGTAACAACACACTTCCGACAACAGCATGGGAAATGAAAGGGTTCGTCTATGTATCCAAAAATTTGAGAGCAATCATTTTTCATATCAAAGGCTCATTCGGCCATTTTGCTGATAAACTGACAGTTGTTGGTGCGGAAAGATTGGAGACTCTTGTGTGCAGAGGTTGTGGTATGTGTTGCTTCACAGGAAATATATCTGGAGTTGACAAAGTAAAAGTGTTGGATTTTTCTTACAACGATTTTTCTATTGCAGCATATGGCTATACAGCAAGTTTTCTTTCTATTGAAAAGTTGATCCTATCCCATGTTAACTTCGACACGAAGGTTATGTCCAGAGATAGTGATCGTATATTTCAAACTTTGATTCATATGAAAAGTCTAGATTTGTCTTCTAACTCTCTTGTGGAACTAAGTGTAGGAACGTTCCGAAACAATGATAAACTGGAATCTCTGTACCTTGGGGATAACATTTTCCGTTCTATCCCCTTTGATATCTCTCTGACGCCTCGTCTACAATATCTGGACCTTAGCAAGAACTCCATTTTACAACTGAACGTTAAACAGAGACATGAACTAGATCTGCACTCAAACAAAGTCACAGGGTTCCGTCTTGAGCTCAAAGACAACATGCTGTCCTGCAGCTGCGACTCAATTCCATTTGTTTGGTGGCTCGGACACACGACTCTTCTCTTGGATAATGGCGGCAACTACACATGTATCACAGCACAAGGCAAAATAAGCTACACGTCAGCCTACAGAGACACTCGAGCCTTATGGCGAGAATGCTACGGAAAAAGTTCTCTGTGGCTCTCACTTGTACTTCTTGCTCTGATGATCATTGGCTTTCTAATTGTCGTGCTGGTCTCACAACACAGCAACTACCTGCGAGCTGCAGTTTTCAGGATCATCGACCAAACGTTTAGACTGGAGACTCTGGAGGACTACCCAATAGGTGTTTTCGTTGGTTACGCTGAAGCAGACTATCGGTTTCCTTGTCTTCGGCTTCTACCATATTTAGAAGGTCTAAACTTAACCGTTTATGTCAAGGACCGCAATATGTTGCCCCATCAGGACGTTGCCACGGCCATTATGGAAGCCATTCAAAACAGCTGGAGAGTCCTCCTTGTGGTCACCGAGGCTTTTCTCTTAGATGACCAGTGGTCAGAGTTTACCATGAGGTCTGCTGTGTACTCTCAGTGCCCCAGGAACCCCTCCAAGGTGGCCCTTGTGGTCGAAGAGAGACTTTGCAACCGCCTGCCTACACAGCTCTTGGCAAGTGTGGGAGACGAGAATGTTATTTGTTTGGATAGACTTGTCATGTGTTATGAACTGAGACAGCGACTGAAGACTCTTATTTTACAAAATTAAGTTCAGTTATTGTATTTACTGTACGGTTTTGTCTAGCGCGACTTGAGTTCATGAGTCTTCGCTATTTTGAAAAAAGAAATTCGCAAAATGAAATCCTTTACAAAAATGTTAAAAGAGGTGCCACTGCGTTGGAATACATGACACTGGACGACTCAAACTGCGAATTCAAAGCGTTTGTGAAAGACAAAATGGGCAAATCACAACAACAACAACAACAACAACAACAACAACAACAACAACAAATAACCCAAAAAGTGCGCACGACAAAAAATCCGAAGCACAGTATCCCTTGATCTCATTATGTTTGGTCATGTTTGTAGAGCAAGGTGGCACGGGTTTTTTTTCTAACGAGGAAAGCCATAATCGGTCTTTTAAACAGTTTGTATATATATATATATATCTGTATTCCAAATGTTTTGTTATTAATTGTACATGGTATAGCGTCTGCAGAGATGGTGTGAAATAACGCATACACACACATGCACACACACACATACGCACACACGCACACACAGACACACAGACACACACACATGCACACACACATACACACACGCACATGCACACTCACAGACACACACACACATACACGTTGACACACACACATACACACACATGTACAGACACGCACACACACGCGTACACAAAGATACACATACACACACAGACACACACATAAACACACATACACACATATACACACACATACACACTCATACACACGCACACACAGATAAATATATATTTTT